CCCACTGCAAAACGGATGGAGACCATAAACACTACCATGGAAATGGATGGGCAGACCACAAACCCCACCACAGAAATGGATGGAGACCACAAATCCCACCACGGAAACAGATGGAGACCACAAAGCCCACTGCAAAACGGATGGAGACCATAAACACTACCATGGAAATGGATGGGCAGACCACAAACCCCACCACAGAAAGGGATGGAGACCACAAATCCCACCACGGAAACAGATGGAGACCACAAAGCCCACTGCAAAACGGATGGAGACCATAAACACTACCATGGAAATGGATGGGCAGACCACAAACCCCACCACGAAAAGGGATGGAGACCACACATCCCACTGCAGAAACAGATGGAGAGATCACAAACCCCACCACGGAAATGGATGGAGATCATAAACCCCACCAGGGAAAGGGATGGAGAACACAAACCCCGCTGCAGAAATGGATAGAGACCACAAATCCCACCACGGAAAGGGATGGAGAGATCACAAACCCCACCACGGAAAGGGATGAAGACCACAAACCCCACTACAAAACGGATGGAGACCATAAACACTACCATGGAAAGGGATGAACAAATCACAAATCCCACCACGGAAAGGGATGGAGACCACAAACCCCACCACAGAAAGGGATGGAGACCATAAACACCACCATGGAATCGGACAGACAGACCAAAAACCCTCAGGCAGAAACTGATGGAGACCACAAATACGGCTGTGAGGGCTGAGCGGTGCGTGACGCCGGAGGGATGGGTGTCACCTGTGGGGATGGGGAAGGGCTTCACCCCAAGGACTGGAGCATCCCATGCCCCAGATGTGGTGCACAGCTGTGAAACGAGGTCCTGCTGCGGCACCAGCTCCTGCCTCATGGCTGCAGGATTAAACGTGGCAGAAACCAAACCCGGCCAGACAAGGACCAGGGAACTCCAGGGGAAGCAAGGCCACCACCAGCCACGGTGAACACGATGGTAGGGTCCAACCTCCAGCCCAGCGAGCCACAAACCCCACGGTGGTGGCAGGAGGTGGCCCATGGGGAGGGATCACCACGAACACCCCAGCTCTGGAGGTGCTGCCCCAAAGCCAAGGGGGTGTCCCGGTGGGGGCTCCAGCCATCCCCACCGCTCCGCGGCACTGGCAGCGCGACAGGAGATGATACATCTCCATCTGAATCCGTTACGTTCCTCGACAGAGATATTAAACGCCGGCAGCTCCCGCTCTCAGGACTCATTTGGCATCGGGCGATGAAGGCGGGAGATGAAAGGCTGTAGGATTATTTTCTCTTTTTTTTTTATTACGCTGAATTTTCCAGTTTGTCATTTCCCATCTACTCCGTCAGGTGCCTTTGGGACCCATTTGTGCTCAGTGGGATGGAGACGGATCTCCTCGGCGGAGCCCGGATCCCCACACGCTCCCTGCTACGGAGGGGACGGAGCTGTTGGACCCACACACAGCACCTCCTGGGTCAGACCTTCCAAACAGCCCCACATTAACCCTACCTATAGGTATACATGTATAGATAGAGGTAGAGATGATATAGATATAGGTATAGATGATATAGATATATCAATAGAGATTGTATATAGATACAGATGATATAGATACAGATATAGGTGATATAGGTATAGGTGATATAGATGATATAGGTATAGATGATGTAGATATAGGTATAGATATAGGTGATATAGGTATAGATGATGTAGATATAGATATAGATATAGGTGATATAGGTATAGGTGATATAGATTTAGATATATAGATATAGATTTAGATATATAGATATAGATGACATAGGTATAGATGATGATATAGATGATGTAGGTATAGGTGATATAGACAGATATAGATATAGATGATATAGGTATAGGTGATATAGATTTAGATATATAGATATAGATGATATAGATATAGATATAGATATAGATAGATATAGATGATATAGGTATAGGTGATATAGATTTAGATATATAGGTATAGACAATATAGGTATAGATGATGTAGATATAGATACAGATGATATAGGTGTAGGTGATATAGGTTTAGATATAGATAATAGATATAGAGATATATAGATACAGATTAGATTATTAGATAGATATAGATATAGATTATATAGATAGATATAGATATAGATATAGATATAGATATAGATATAGATATAGATATAGATATAGATATAGATATAGATATAGATGCGTGCATGACTTGAGGTCAGGGTCTGCCTTTGCAAGTGCAGGTATCATGGAATCATGGCATGGTTTGGGTGGGAAGGGACCTCAAAGCCCCCCCAGTGCCACCCCCTGCCCTGGGCCGGGACACCTCCCACCAGCCCACGTTGCTCCAAGCCCCCTCCAACCTGCCCTTGAACCCCTCCAGGGATGGGGCAGCCACAGCTTCTCTGGGCAACCTGGGCCAGGCTCTCACCACCCTCAGGGTGAAGAATTTCACCTAAATCTTCCCTTTTTCACCTTAAAACCCTTCCTCTTCCTCCTAGGGCTCCCCTCCCTCATCCAGAGTCCCTCCCCATCTCTCCTGGAGCCCACCCTTGAGGGACTGGAAGGGGCTCCAAGGTCTCCCCGGAGCCTTCTCTTCTCCAGGCTGAACCCCCCAACTCTCTCAGCCCCCCCTCCCAGCAGAGGGGCTCCAGCCCTCCCAGCATCTCGGTGGCTGGCGGTGGGGTGGGCAGCGAGCCCGGTGGCTAGCAGCAGGCAGGAGAAGGCAACCGCCTGTGTGCCAGGGAAGGATTTTGCCAGCGCGGCGGGGGAGCTGGAGGGGGGGGGGCATCCGCCTTTCTGCAGTCTCCTTGGAGACCGGCAAAGAAACCCCACGGTGCCAAGGGTTTGGATGAGGGGGGCAAGTTTATCCCCCCTTCCCCTTGCCAGCGCTGGTGGCCGCTTGGCAGCCGCACCCCCCCCCAACGCTGGGCTAGTGGTGGCCCCCGGGCCACCCAGCGCTGACGCCAGCGACGCAGCGGGAGGACGGAGGCTAAGATGGGAAGTTATCCATAATTCAGTGTGGACCAAAAACAAGGCAGCATCCTCAGAGGGAGGAATTTCCACCTCAGCATCCTCGGAGGGATGAATTTCCACCTCGCTGGTCCTGCAGCTCGGGGGGGGGAAGGGGCTGGGGGGGTCACGGCCGAGGCTTGGGAGTGCCATCCAGGGAAAAAACAGCCCTGGAAAAGGCGGTTTGTGGCATAATCCCAGGGTTGCTCCGGGCTGGAAAGATCCCCCCCCTCCAGCTCGGTCGCCATCGGGAACGCTCCTCATCATCTAGATAAGGAGGAGGTTTCCCCCAGGAATGCTGGGGAGGGGGTCTCTATCAACCATTGTTGGGGGGGAAATTAAAATAAAATAAAATAAAATAAAATAAAATAAAATTAAAATAAAGTAAAATAAAATAAAATAAAATAAAATAATAATACAGAAAAATAAAAAGCAGCAAGAGGCCAAATCGCTGCCCTGAGGAGCTTCTGGGTGGTTTTAGATGGGTGGTTGCCAGAAAGTGGGCAGAGCCTGGTCCCACTCTGGGGACACGGGGGTCAAACCAGCCCCCCGGGACCAAACTGACCCCCCAGGACCAAATCAACCCCCCAGGATCAAACCAACCCCCCGGCTCTGGGCCCGGCGGCGGCGCTTTGACGGGAGGAGGAGGGACGCAGCGTGTGACCCGCGGCAGAGCTTATTTTGGGCACTTTGATGTCCCCGCTCAGAGACTCGCCAGACGCTCACACCGAGCCCAGCGGAGACCAAACCACGCACCAAAAATGCGGCGTTTTCCAAGGACTCAATACCCCCCACACACCTTAGGATTTCTCCCCCACATTCCGGTTTGGCCCCCAGCATCCCTCGGAGCCAGAGGAGGGGAGCGGTGCCCCGACCCCCCCAGCCAGCCCCACGGCGCAGGGGAGAGATGCCCCTGACCCCCCCAGCCAGCCCCACGGCGCAGGGGAGAGATGCCCGGTGCGGCCGAACGGCACAGCAGGGGAGGAAAAAGGAAAACCAGAGGATTTCACCCAATTTGCATCGTTTCCAGCAGCCCTGCAGCCTCCTGCTTGCCCCCCCCCCCCTCCCCCCACCCTGGAAACGGGGCTCTCCCACCCCCCCAGAGCAACAGCACCGGCGATACCCAGGGGGAAACTGAGGCAGGGGATGAAGGAGGCATCGGTGGCCCTGCAGCCATCAGAGAGCTCGCTCAAAGCCCCCCCCAAGGCCTCCTGCACCCCACAAAAGGGGGTCCCCAAGGAAGAAACTTAGCAGGAGGGGGGGGTCAGACCAGGACTCCACCTGGGGACGGTGACAGACACCGGCGATTGCTGCCCAGCAGAGATGCTGCGGAGCAGAGCACCCTCCCCATCTCCCCCCACCTCTTCCCCTCCATTGGGGGTCACCTCCCCACCGCGCCCCCCCCCACGGTCACCTGGGTGCTGTCCCCTTCCAGCCGGGGGGGTCGGATGCTGGAGAGGTGAATGGTTTTGTGGTCCCCGGAGTTGAGCTTCACCACGATGGCGTCGGCGTTCAGCACCTGCATCACCTGGGGAGGGAGAGAGGCCGAGGTGAACACCCTGCCCTCACCATCAGCCCCCACAGATGGGCACCCCCACCACCCTGCCCAGGCTCTGCCAGGCACCCCAACCCACCCCAGCCCTGCTGCCCCCCCAAAACGGCACCGGGCAAGTAGCCCCAACCCCATCCTGGTTGCCCGGTGGGTCACTGGAGTGAATGTGGCTCGTTGGCACGGTCCTGCTCCCCAAGCTCAAGGAGCTCAGGGCTGGTCGGTCCCCATCTGGTGATGCCACAACACACCAGCACCTCCCCACAGCTCGCAGCCCCCCCATTTCACCCCCCAACTAACACCAAAGAGGGGATCAGACCCCAGGCAGTGATATCAGCCAATGGAGGAGGGCACATAGGGGGAGGGAGGGAGCACAGCCCATGGTGGAGACCCTTCCACCCCAGCAGTGTGTCCTGGCTGGTGGTTCTCCACATGCTGGGGCCACAAATTAATTAGAAAAACCGGTGGCAAAAGCAAACAGAGCTGTGCAGGCAGCAGGAAGGGGGGACAGCGGGGCTGGGGACACGCTGCTTTAATTTTCTCAGTTTTCACAAATCACTGCTCTCCAGCCCGGGCAGAGCAGGACAAGCTATTCCCGCTGCTCGCTCCCAGCACAAACCCAGTCCCCCCAGTCCAAAAGGTTCCCCCCCCATTGCCCACCCACACGACACGTGCGGGGAGCGCAGAAGGAGGTGAAGCTGAGGGAGGAGGGCTCAGGTTTGCCCCCCCCCTTCCCACCCCCACACAGCACTTTTTGCCCCAGTGAGCACATCGGGTCCTCAGAACGCGCTCAGCCGAAGGGATAAGGGGGATAATTGGGATTAAAACAGGCGCCCAGGATGGCCAGGGCTCCCTCTGGGCACAGCAGAACCTCCCCGGGGGGGGGACATCCCTACCCAGGGACTCGCATCCTCCCGGGACCTCGGCTTTTCGTGGGCAGAACCCAGTAATCAAATCTCATGCTTCAGGGCATCCTCAGCGCTGGAGGGGGCAGGGAGAGACACACACACCCCCCCCAGCAGCGCCTTGGGAGCACCCATCCCTCCCCTCCTGAGGAAAAAGCTAGGGGTGAAGATGAGAGACCCCAGCCAAGGGTGGGGGGAGAAGGCAAATCCCCCCCACATTTCACAGCCATCACACACCCCCAGCCCTTCCATGGCCCGGCTGCCTGGTCACATCACATTTCTTCTCCAGCGGGAGGAGGTGGCACTGCCCGGGATACAGGCAGAGCCAACGATGGGCAGCGGGCACTCCTCCCCCCCACACACACCCCCTGACCCCCAGCACCCCCTTTCTGGCAGGAATTAATTCACAGGGTCCTTGGGCAGGCTGTCCCTGCTCTGTGCAGGGATGGGGGATGCTGCAGGACGTGGTGCCCAGGGACAGGGGATGCTGAAGGATGTGGTACCCAGGGACGGGGTGGCAGCAGGAGCCAAGGGTGACCCCCCGGGTGCCCACTCCCCTTCTCCTCCTGACCCCCAGCATCCCCTTCCCGGCTGGAATTAACTCACAGGGTCCTTGGCCAGGATGTCCCTGCCCTGTGCAGGGATGGGGTGGCAGGACAGGGGATGCTGTAGGACGTGGTACCCGGGGACGGGGTGGCAGGACAGGGGATGCTGCAGGACATGGTACCCGGGGACGGGGTGGCAGGACAGGGGATGCTACAGGACGTGGTACCCGGGGACGGGGTGGCAGGACAGGGGATGCTACAGGACATGGTACCCCAAGGATGGGGTGGCAGGACAGGGGATGCTGCAGGACGTGGTACCCGGGGACGGGGTGGCAGCAGGAGCCAAGGGTGACCTCCCAGCACCCACAGCCCCAGCTCGGCAGCATCACCCTGAGGGTGGAAGCAGCAGAAGATGCTCTGCAGCCCCCTCCCCGGGGACCCCCGCGGGCAGCAGCGGGGACACAGTGACACAGGCGACAGCAAAACTCGGGGGGGGGGGAAGGGGGGGCACTCAGCACCGCCCCAGAGGCCGTGCCATTCCTCTCACTAACAATTCCTCAGCTGGCTGGGGCCAGCTTCCTTTATCCAATATTTATTGTGCCTTCACCTGCCTCCAAAAGGCGCTTTGATAAAGGGATTGAAAGGAATTTTTTTTTTTTTTTTTTTCTTTTTTCTATGATTCTACCCCGCCTGCGGACGGAGGAGCTCCAGCGACCCCCCCACACACCGACCCCCCCAGCCCCATCACGGCTCCCCCTCCCTGGGGAGGGATGTTTTTCACAAAGGAGGTTTTTCTCCCTGCCAGCGCCGATGCCAACAAGGTTTCCCATTTTCTGTCCCCCAGGGCTTTGCTCCCCCCAAATCAGCATCCCTGGGTGCTCCCGGGGCCAGGGACCCCCCCGTGCCTGGGGGACCACGGGGCCAGCTCCCCCAGTTGCCGCTGTGCTCTGCAGCTCCCCAGGGCATCCCTGCCCCGACGCTAACGAAGGCAGCTCGTTAGCTCTCCTGGGAGAGGGGTGGGGGGGACAGGGATGCACCCCCAAAGCTGGGAGAGACCTCCTGCACCCTGACCCTGTGGGACAGGGAGGGTGGCACTTTGGGAGCTGATGCCCAGCACCGGGAGAGGGGCCAGTGATGGCCCCCCCAAAGAGAAAACTGCTTTTTGGGGGGCTGCAGCAGCTGGTACCCAGCACCAAGGGGATGGTGCTGCCCCTCGCAAAGAGAAAACTGCTTTTTGGGGGGCTGCAGCAGCTGGTACCCAGCACCGAGGGGATGGTGATGCCCCCCCAAAGACAAAACTGCTTTTTGGGGGGCTGCAGCAGCTGATACCCAGCACCGAGGGGATGGTGATGCCCCCCCAAAGACAAAACTGCTTTTTGGGGGGCTGCAGCAGCTGGTACCCAGGACCAAGGGGATGGTGCTGCCCCTCACAAAGAGGAAACTGCTTTTTGGGGTGCTGCAGCAACTGGTACCCACCACCAAGGGGATGGTACTGCCCCCCCAAAGAGAAAACTGCTTTTTGGGGGGCTGCAGCAACTGGTACCCAGCATCGAGGGGATGGTGCTGTCCCCCCCAAAGTAAAAACTGCTTTTTGAGGGGCTGGGGCTGGCACCCAACTCGGCAGAAAAGCAGCTCCTGGGCTGCCTTTGGCACATCCCTCTGAGATGTGAGATGCTCTGGCGGCGACGAAGGCTCCAAGTGTTTTGCAAAAGGGGGGAAATTTTTTCTTTTTTCAAAAAAAAAGGAAAAAAAATAAGAAAAAAGCCAAAAAAATTTTTAAAAAAAGCCAAAAAGGCACAGGCACAGCTCATCCACATCCACCTCCCCCAGCCTGCAAAGTGCTGGAGCCTGGCAGGAGGCGATGCGCAGCCCAGCCAGAGGGGCTGGATGCACCCGAGGGGCTGCCCCACAGAGCATCCAACCCCAAAAACAGCCCCCCAGGGGGGGCTGATCCTGCCCCGCCGTGGGGAGATGAGATGTCAGGAGCTGGCAGAGCCCCCCCCGAGTTGTTCTAAACAGCTTTTGGCAGGGGCTGGCTTTAAGCATGACGGATTCAGCTCCGAGCAGATCCCGGCCCCGATTCCTGGGCGCTGGAAGGAGGGAGCTGACGCAGGGAATTTGGGAGAAAGCCTCCAGCCCCTTCGCATTTTTTTTCTTCTCTCCACTCCCGGGCATCAAATCCACCCTCGAGGCCAAGCACTTAATTCCACACACCCCCCCCCTTCTCCATAAAACCAACCCCCCCCCATCCTTCTCCTGGCTCCGAGCATCGGCAGACGAACGGCGACACCCAAAATTAGCCCGATTGCCGCGGTTGCTCGACGGTGCAAAGGCAGGTTGGGATCTTCCTCCTCCTCC